GAAGTTCGGTGGCGCTGGCTTTGAGTCGTCCTCCTCCCGACCCTCGCCGCCCTTTCTCCTTCTCCTGCCGCGTCTCCGCCGTCCTGGCTCCGTTGCAGTCACGAACCTCGCCTTCCGTCTGCAAGTGCAACGCAAACTCTTTTATCCCAAGGCGCGAAAGGCAAATACGCAGAACCGGGCGAGAAAAGCTTTCGGGAAGAGGCAACTCGCTTCACGGCGTTGCAATCCAGACGACCAACATCGAAGAAAGAATTTCCCCGTGCCTACGGATAATGCAGTGAAGGACGCGTTTAGGTTTCTGTCTCTCGTCTCTGTATGGATGGGCTCCAACCACCTGCCGGCCCGTCGTCAGATGTTCAGTTAATAAGCTGTACCTGGGTTGTGTTCGGGCACCCCGCTTCTCCGCGCAGTCCGTGAACTGCTTCCCGAACTGAGAGCCCCACCGGACATTGTCCCCGCAGCCGCCCCATTTGAAGTTCCCGTTCGGGGGGTCCCGAGGCGGAGAGGCGCACGAGCAGTGGAACAGCGCACCGGAAGAACACGCCCTCGCGATCGTGTACGTCACAGCCGCTGAACTCAGGGCGTACACGTAGGCCTGCTCTCGGGTACCTGTGGAACAGCAGATCATCGTCACGGGAGCGAGGGTCTTCCCTGGCCTCCACAATGCTTCCATATACGCGTCTTCCCTGTAGGTTTATGTTCGCAAATCGCGAACACGAGCTACGGAGGAGGGAGCTTCGACGACGACGATAATGCCGTTCTTACCGCCTTCCAGGAAATTCGTCACTCCAAACTAAACGATGAATAAATGTGTTGTTGATGTGCTTGACTTCGAAACCACGTGGGCGTGTAAGTAGGTACTGACGTTTCGGGTGAACATGCTGCCTCCGTCTTTAGCCCTGAAGATGGAGGCAGTAAGATCCTCTGAAACGTCGGTCAATACCTACCAGACCGCATGGCGCGCGCAACACGCCAAAATACACAAGTTGCACGCGTTCTTCAGTTACCTGTCGTGATGTCGGGGGTGAAGTTGGGAGCCGCCTCGATGGACGTGCAGTTCCATCTGCGGTCCGCAAACACGTTCTGGCAGGTGGCCACTGTCTGCGCGGCAGCCCTCGCGATGTGAGGCATGGCCTGTGAGGCAGTGCGACAGAGCTTGGTTTGGCGTCGCACCAATCCGAAGTGGACCCGAGCCTTGCGACACATCGTCGCGACCGCCCCCGTCCCGTTCCACTGAAGACTCGCCTTCCTCAGCGCTCTGAAACCAGAGTACAAGTTGTCAGACCACACATCTAGCATCCGTGCTATTTGGGTTGTCTAATACTAGGCGTGTCTCGTATTTCCTAAGCACGGCGTGCATTTCGCAAGCTGTTAATCTCGCATACGTCGGGCACTAGAGGAGAGGCCCTGTCGGATTTTGATATGCAGAGAGGTTTTACACGGCGGTATCGAATGTGACACGTTGCGATTGTCTGTCACTAATCCCCGTCTTGATACAGAATGAACCGCGGAATTATGCGGTAATGCATTCCTTCCTCTCTTGAACTTCGGTCAGACTTCCCGGCGTCAGAAGCAGGACAAGGACGAGAAACTTTTGTCACGATTTTCGGTTACCTGGTCGAAATTCGAACCCGGAGCCATCAATCCAGGATGTTCGGCTACGGTGTATACAAAATTCATGGCAGGGACAGTCCCTGGTGGCACAGTCAGAGACAGTCAGTCCCTGAACCTGCGGTGTTGACGTCGTCATGTTTTATCTCGCGGCTCATTTGTCAGCGATTAGCGGAGCCATAAACCGATTATGAAGGGAACACCTCGTCACTGCAAACACTTCCATTGCGATGACGGGACGACTTCCTGGAGATGCGGCTTAAAGGCCAGGGCAGGTTACAGCCAAGTGACGTAGGTGGACGTTCTCGTGCTCTTCACTCCGACCAGCTTTACTCTCCAGGAAAGAACCGGTAACTGTCATCGAACATGACGCCTGGTGGGCTCCGGGGTGGTGATGAAATTCTCGTGTCGCATGGGCCCTTGTGCTTTCAAACACCGGGCACAGCACTCTGTCCTCAGACTCCCTTAAACTGTGATCGTCCCTTCAGGTGGGACACCAAGTTTCACGCCCGTACAAAACAACGGATAAAGTTTGGTCTTCGCGTTGTGGGTGAGATACTTGAAGACAAGGTATTCTGACCTGGCTGTTGTCATCGTTAATCACAAACTTCAAGATTGATTTCGCGTTGTGAGGCTGAGACTTTACACCCCCGTGGCTGGGGTGTCGTGTTTTTCCCCAGGCACAACCCTGTCACATTTCGCACGGCCTGCTCGGACACTCGGCTCGGTTAAGAGTATGTGGAGCTGTACCTCCATTCCCCCAGACGTGCGCACGGCGTTCTGCTCCGTCTCTTTGTGCTGTGAGTAGCGTTGGCGTCGCCTCTCACTGAACTCTCACTCTTGTTTGTGTCATAAAGAAACTCATATTGAGAAGTAAAGAAGGCTCACCGCTCGTGTGTATCTGGTAAATTCCATCCCGGTCGGGCACAAAGACGTGCCGAATTTTTTACGTGTAAGACGAACCACTGATTCCATTAGTATGACAACAAAATTCTGGAACGTTAAAGTAAAAATTCAAACACGAGCCCATTTTGTGCGGCAATTGTTACTTACGGAGAGTAAACGATGAGATTACGGTTTTATGACGTATTAAATTATTTCCATAAGAATAACTTGCGCCTTCTCTGTAGACACGTGATAATTCTTTTAAAGACGTCAGCACACATGCAGGTTAGGTTTCCGAAAGAGTACACAGTGCTGCTGAGGAGACCAAAGGACTTTTTGAACAAATTTACTTGTTTACATGTATCTCTATGTTTGTATTTTGCGTCTTTGTAGGGCCCTGTTCTTAAGAATGTTGCCTTAGTGCATCATTTAGGAAGGGCTACTAAACGTAGGCATAGGTCACCCTGGACACGTACTGAGATCGTTCCTTAAAACGATGAATGACGTCCACATTCGGCCGTCGTCATATCCCACTGGTTTTACTCTGAATACCATAATTATGCCTTCTATGAAGCCTGATTAAACACACCGACAATAATATCAGTGCTTATGGACGTTGTCATTTATGCTATCTCTTCTGTACAAACTGAAGTATCTAAAGTCGAATGTTAGTCACAATATTCGATGAAATTATTGCCACGGTGGTCTAGCGGTTAGAACGCTGGTCTTGTAATCCTGGGGGTCTCGGGTTCGATTCCCGGCGGTGCCCGAATTTATAACTTGTGTTGGGCAAGGCCGTGGTCTAGGCAACACGGAGTTTTCCTCCGTGGCATCCCAACAATTACTCCATCCACACACAGAAGAAGGCAATGGCAAACCACTTCCGGATCATCTGCCACTTGCTCGTCACACGCTGTGTAGTGAGCTGATACTGAGGGTGTGTGTTAAACGCTTCTTTTACGGCTAGATGGCTTGCAATCGGTGCGTCCATCGTCTCAGAGTGCTTGAACTTGCCAGCTTGGCTCTCTGGAGCTTAATAAATATTACGGGTGTTTTCGACGAATGGGAGATTTCTTCCTTTCACACCTGAGTAATAATTAATTAACACTTTCACGAACAGAGTGCGGCACCTTGTGCCTGGCGCGCTGTCTATTCAAATCACGCCGAGCGCTGCAGTGCCGCCGGCTTCCATCACAATTAAGGTAAATTCCGTTTTGGGTTACTCAAATAATTCGTTAGAATTGTTTAACACCCCCCCCCCCCTGCGCTCATCTTCTTCGAGGGCGGGGCACTCGGGCTTCGGAATTCTTCCGTTCACACGCGCTGGTTTGTCCGTCTGCTCGGTTTGGCCTAGGTCAAAGGGTCCACTCATCGCTCTCCTGAAGACGGAAGTAGATCCAGCTTCCGAAACGTTGTGGCTTTAATTGAAAGACCCTTGAGCGATGGATAAACTCCAACAAAATAATTAACGTGCATAGACAATATTTAGAATCTTGGTCATGTTCACGTTCTGTGCGTCTGGTAACAGCTTTACTTGTCTGCCATTAACTCCCAATATGGATTTTTTCCACAAAAAGACTCTTACTTGCAGTAATTATATACACACCAGGTTCATGAACTCCAGTGCCATCGAATGTATAAAGACGAACGCTGAATGTTTTATTGGGGGGCGATAGAACATGCACGCCTTTGGAAATTCATGGCAATTGTGTCTACATACGTGGAAGTCTGTGTCACTCACGGCGACCTGAGACAAACCGCAACCCGCACGATGTGTCTTCTCCGACATTGAAGCGTCCTATACCCAGAAAACTCCTTACAACGTTCTACAACATTCGTATAAATACTTTCGGTCTATCGGACATTTCCGATTCTTGGTTGTTTTGAGATAATGTCGTTCTTAGGCTGATGGAGACTGGTCCATTGCAATGTCTCTGTCAGGACAGAGATTTTAAATCCCTTTCTGGACGCGGCTGTACTTGAATCTATGCCCTTCTCGGAGTTAACGTTGTCCTGTGCAGGCAGAAACCCTGTATCTGTCCAAAAATATAATTTATTCATCACGTCAGCCGAAAGGGCTTAGTCAGTGACAGGTGAATTAGACGTTCGTGTGCTGAACAATAGGACTCAGAGCCAGGGCGTTCGATTTATGGAAATGCGTGCTCGCACGGGTCTGGTGGAACTGGAGCGAGTTACTGGAACGAGTTACCAGTGTTCACACTCTACTCGACTCGTGCAAACAAGCGCTTGAATACCTACTGGCTTTTAGATAAATCCACCTACAAACTCGTTCCAGTACCTCGTCTTGGTCTTCTTTATAAACCCTGGTCTGAATACGTACGTAGCTTTTATATGGTTATATGGTTATATGGTTTTGTTTAGGTTATATGGTTTTGTAATATTATGAGTTGTTTTATTTTGAGTGTGGTGTGTTGTTTTGTTGTGTCTCATTGTTCTGTTGTTTCTTATTGTTTTTGTTGTCTTATGTTTTGTTGTGTCTTATTGTAGGACCACTGCCACCGGGTAAAAACCCATTTGCAGTCAAATAAATAATAATAATAACTTCGCTGATCTTCAGTTGTTTAAAACAACGAGCAACAACTTCGATCTTACCCAGTCTGAGATTAAACCAGTCAGAAGTCAAATGAGGCAGGGAGGGGCAGCGTTGGTTTCGAATGGCGACGGGGATTTATTGAGCACCGCCCTGAGGCGAGTGGGACGTCCAGACAGCACGTATACTGCGCGTATCTCAATTAGTTCGCAAAACAGCGACTCAGGCGACGCAGTGAAGTTCGCTGTCTTGCAACTGTAAGCTTGCTCAAGTACAGTCGTTTCTCCGTCGACCGCTGGGAATGCTTTCAAGGAAACGAGAGCGCTAACTGATTCGTCGTAATGCGGGGTCATTTTGGTACAGTTCTTATGGAGATGCGTTCCTAAAATTGTAATTTGTTAACAACTTCAAGTTTCCTAGGGTTTCTTCGTGGTGCTGGACCAATATTACAGATGACTAACGTGGTTTATGCGGTACATAAAATATCCAAATATGGTTTGAATCTGTTGCCGCCTTTAAAGCACGCGACCCTCATTCGCATAGGCAAGAAACTCCCCGATGGTTCATCGTCATCGGACTTAATCTGATTCGGTTCAGTCCAGTTCAAAAACCATCGAAATTCTTTACCTGTTGTGGGCCCACCGAATTGGACTCCGTGTCGTTAAACATACAATAATCATTACTGGAATAATTACAGCAAAGCAAGTGTCAAAATTAGAGAGTCCGCGTCGCCGTGATCGCGGGTTTCTTAGTGCCGGCCGCGTGCTGTCAGAGTGGGGAAGACTGCCCCGGTTTTTCCTGTCTTCTCCTGGTTTCTCCGTTTTCTGTCGTCTTGTACGCGCTAAAGACCGTTTTCTGTCGTATTAGTTACTTTACGCCGAAACTGAGAATTTTCCTGAAGTCGGGTCTGCTGCTGACAACTTCAGAATTTCCATCAGCGTCGGCATGGTTACGATACCTTCTTAAACCTGTATTCGCAGTTATTTTAGAATTGTAACACGTGACAAGAGATACGACCCGTTCGTACTTGTCGTATAAAACAGTTTAACCCTTCCACGCGTGCTTTTCCCCCTATTCAGATGTTTCCGGACCTCGCAGAAAACTTTCAGATAACTTATCACGTGACATGGTTTGTACATTTTGGTTCTCGCTCTTCTGTCATGTGAAGTTTCGGGAGGGAAAGTCAAAGAGATGAAGGAAGAAAGATGATGAAAGATGGAGACACGATGAAAATAGTTCCCCGTTGAATCTTGACGGATTTTCTATACTGAAAACTGTCTTTTTCAAATTATTTCTCACAAATATGCAGCTTTTGTAAATGAAGCTGTTGTAATTGTAGAATTTTTTTCGATTAAAGTGAAATTAGATTTAATGTAAGTTCAATGACTCAGTTGTGTGATGCTGATCACCGTTATTGCATTTGACTGCTCTGGGGGTAAAAGTAGACTAATTTTTTTTAGTGATAATTATGTAGAGTACTCTGTGCATGGTCATAATTTATCCGAATGTAAATTACGATGTGGTTGCATGACCCGCCCGTCCCGTCACCCTAATCACGTTCGGTGATCTGTACAACTGCATCATCGTCCACTTTTCTCCATCCTGGTGCAACTTCGTTCCCTGTCAGGTTCAGTATTCTCCTCAGAAGGCTTAAAGTTTCCCCGATGTGAAGTTAGCGTGAGGCGAATGATTTTGCTCGAATTTTAAAAGGGTCTGACATTTGCTGACTGGACGGGGACACCCAAATGCCAATGGGCGAGAGTTTCCTTAAGACTCTCTGATGAAAATGCAATACGAATATCGCCGCTTCGACTGTAATAGCTCACATGAAGTGAAATTTAACGAGTATTTAATCCTTCTGGTGTGTGGGACAGACTGACTGGAACGATTGTGGACATTCGACTGAGATTATTGAGCGGAAAGTTAAGTGAAAATGATAAAGTCTAAGAGTACGATTAGGAATCCGTGGTATTTGAAGGTAATCAATGCAGTGCGATAGATGTGTTTCTGGGTAGGTGTGATGTTGTGGAACCCGCTTACAAGAGTTTCGTTTCGAACGTAGGATTCATAACACGCGTCTCCTGCTGTTGACGTAAAGTCATATAATTAGGCCGACCAGTGGTCAAGTTTTTACAATGTTTTGTGAGACACGTTCCGTCATGTCGCTCCAGATATTTCGGTGGGAAGGAATTTAATCCGTGCACCATTCCTCTCCCCCACCTCAAAAAACGAAGAACGAGGCTCTAAAATTATTGAATGACGGTCCACATGGATCTTCAGATACATCGAAAGCTATTTCACATCACACATGGAATGAGAGGGGAGTTGTACAGGTCCACGTGCCAAACACGAGTGAGGCAACCGGATCTTGAGTCCGATTTGAGGTCCTCACGGCGACGAATATGAATTGGCTGTCTTCTGGGTTGTAGCGCCGTGTGGTCTCGGAGAAGTTTACCGTTTAAGAGATCCTTGCTACTTCATCGCCCTGATGATGGAGGTATCAGGTACCTCTGATACGTCGGTAAACGTTTACCAGACTACGCTACAACCCAGAGGACAGCCATTTGAATAATTGGATATTTTCCAGGTTGATAACTTTGTTAACCCGCGATCTCATTTATGCTCAGTTAAAAATCGTTGTTAATACTTACAGCCAGCGGATCGTGTTGGCCTGATCCACCCAGCAGGTGGTCAGCAGAAGGGCTAGCAGTGACACCGCCCTCAGCGTCCGCATCCTCCTACTGATGTCCGTCCATCCGTCGCACGTCCTTCGCAGTTCGCTGCTAATCTGTAAAGTCTGCCTCCAGTCCCCCAGGGTAAATTCGCAGCACTCAGACCTCTTACTTGATTTGGAAAATGTACGAACTCCTCTGTATCGCACGTAGGAGCGTCCTCAAAGACTACATTGTTTGTACTCCGGGCCGATGTTTGTGAACATTCACTGGAAGAATAATGTCTCTTTATATGTTGAAAAGTAATTTTATGACATTATTGATGTTTCAATGAACTTTCGTCTCACATTCGACGCGAACCGATTTGATGTCATCGCCTGATTCTTTTTATACAAGTCACACGTTGTCAAATTATTCGCTGTATAAAATGTAATGTTCCTTCTTTGTATTCGGAACTTATACGCTCACGTCATGCCCTCTCTTAATCCTCCATGTCACTGGAAATCTGAGAGACATCAAGAATTTTGCTGGGAAAGGAAACAAGGCAAGAACAGATCGAGCTAGGTCATTAGTCATCTGAAGCGGTAATGTCTCCAGCAGAATTAACTTTTCTTGAGTGTCCACTTTAACTTAGACCAGTAAATGAACGTAAAATATCAATCCCTTTTATAAGCTAAAAATCAGTGAGCGCCATTACGTTCGGCAAGACACTTTGGTTCACGGTACTTCGCGACGACAGAATATCTTCGACGTGGTCTTCTGGTGGCAGGTCATTTGTCGGTGACAGATACGTCGATGGCTGGCAGCATTGCTGATAAAATGTTCAGCGTCAGAAAATCTGAAAGAAAAACCATGCCAATAAAAGAAACAGCTAGTCCGAACCCAGAACTCGTGATACGCGACCGCGGCGCGTCGATGGGGGGCACGTCCCGTAAAGATCGCGGACGGCGTTGCTATTCGCACGACCACAAGCTGGGCTGGACATGTAGAAATGTCGGTGTCGTGTGCCTGGCGTCCCCACCACCTGTGTTTTTCTCGGGCCCCTCTTGACTGCCTGCCTGTCGACCATCGAGGACTGAGACGAAATCGACATTTAACGGTGTATATATGCACGAACGTCTGAATTTTTTTCGAAGATATTTGGCCCCCCTAATCGGCAAGCGTTGCTCTATTAAATATTCACTTATTACATTCACGCATGAAACCAAGCGTGAACAAAAAATCTTAGGAACTTTATTACCCAAAAAAAAAATTATAACAAATTTCACGCTAATTTGGCTTGGTTAATCTTTCGTCGTCAGCTGTAATTTATCTCGATGATGTCTGATTTCTATGATACCGCTGTGACTACGCTGAACACATGCAGGATGATATAACATTTGAAACTGAAACGCGGGCCGCTCAGAGTATTTTTACGGGACGTGGATTCAAAACCCCTGAACCGTACGTATTTTGATGGAAGGATGTACAGTGTTTATGTGAGACGGATGGATAGGTAGGGTAAGTTCTGCCCTGTTCAGTTCGAGATCTCTCAGACACCCTCAATTTGTTACATTCACAGTTTTATCCTGCGCATAGAAAAGACCACGCCACAATATATAACCTGATGTTCTGTATAATAACTGGTTTCCGTTTTCTGCAATCCGACTTTAAGTCCTCTCGTACCTTCGAGCGGAGTCCGGTTCGTACTGGGCGGTCTCTTGAACCAGGTAACGGGGCATACAGTGGACCGGCCTGCGAGTGGTTTTAGTGGCGTCGGACTGCCAAGTCGCCTTGTTCCGCCTCTCTGATACCTTCCCCCAGGGGAATTTCCCTCTCAGTAGGTCTGGGGGTTCAAAATTTTGTGATACATCTCGCGTGGAATGTTGGTGATATTATTTCGAATTTGCTGATGGAGTTGCAGTGTTTCTGGAAGTTTTGCGTTGGTTATTAGTTGAAGAAGAAACTGTGGATAATTTGCTCACGTCGTTTTCCTTTTAAGAGTTGTATTTCTGTCCACATTTAACGACGTTTGTTCATGTCTCATTAGGCGCTGTGTCTGGCTTCAGGTGTTTCGGAACGACGGTCTTGAACCGAAATTACATTCACGATGGAATTTACAGAACTGAAATTTTCCTTGTTGTCTGTGTGCATGCATTTACAATGATGGAGAGACGTAAAATGAAGGAATTTTATAAAAAGAGCTGAGGAACATGTTTCGACCAGAGATAGAGCAGGACGGGGAAAATTACGTTGCAAGGAACTTTTAAACTTGTGCTCTTTGTCTGCGAATATTATGTAAATTAAATAACAGCGAACCTGGTGGGATATTATTGCGTTCAGTGTTAAATTTTATCTTGCCAGAAATTTAGTCTGGAGTTATGGAAAGATTTTACCTGGCTAAGGATGGTTTCCAGTGGAGGATTTATTTAACGTGGTGGTGAAACGTCTAGCTTCATTACTACAGAAACGATTTCTTATCAACGTAATGACTTTATACCTTCATTGTAGAATTTAGTTAGAAGCTGTAGCTTCATTTCACATTTCAAATGTCGCTGGATCTTGTAGGAAATAATAAAACCTCCGAAGCGAGGGCGACTGTGAACTTCGAACCGACGTGGAAACTCACGTAATTCCGTAGAATTATGAAGCCGGCTCTCGAAAATCAGTCACTGGGCTCGCTACAGTTCACAGTCTGATTACATTTTGTTGCATTCGCCCTGGATTCTGATTGTAAGTTATTTTGACATTCGACTCCTGTATAAACCGCATGAAGTCTTAAGAATGAAACGATGCTTCTGTTCGCATTGAAAACTGCAGTTTTACACGGATTTGTAATGTAAAAATTATAGGCCTATTTTAATGTGTGTTACCAAGCCAGGAAAATTCGGGCATTTTAATTATTAGCTATCAGAATATTGTGTCGTTGTCTGATATTTGAATGTGTAGGTGTCTTATGACACCGCCCAGGGATACAGGACACGCCGTATAGCACTGAAAATGATGCTGATCTCAAACTGGCGAATTCTTTGAGATATTTACGACTCGTAGGAATTGTTTTTAGAAACAGCATTTAAAATGGGCGAGGTAGCGGAAACCGCTGAGCACTGGCTTGTGTGTCGTTTATAGTGAAACAGAGAACGCAAATGACCAGGACGACTGACTCGTTTTGCGCGTAACACGGGGCTCAAAACGCGGTGCTTCCAAGCGATTTGCAAAATGACGAATTTAATGAGACGCATCGGTTGCGATGAGGGACGGTCTGCACAGTTGGTAAAGGGTCCAGGAAGGAGACTATATAAGATCTGAAGATTTAACAGTGACTAACAGTATAATTCTCGGGTGACACCGCGTCCATTCGAGGGAAAAGTCCAACGTTTCGGGGACAGTCTGTGCCCTCATCATCCGGAAACAACGCGGGGGAGAATTTAAACATAATTTGTATTAAAATCGTCTCGCCTTTAGCGATGTTCGAGCGGTCCCCGGCAAAAAGATTACTTGGCTTGGTCGCCTGTCCCTGCCGCGGACTTTGTGGCCTTCGTCCATCGTTTCAGGCGAATGTACGGATGCTATTTAATCACGCCACGATCTCTTCTTCGTCATACTTTTGTCTTTTTGTAGGTCTCGTTGTTCACTAAATAATATCTGGATCTGGCACAGGGTTGTAAAATAATCTAGACACCATCCCGACAGATCCTTGCAACGTAAAGACGCCCAGATAATAAACCTTAGAGATAAACCGAACTCTGCTATCACAATACTTAACCGCCATCATTTGTCTAACTGCGCTGCGCAGATAATCTCGCTGAATCACATGTAACTCAGTCTGCTTGACTGGAGTTGTAACCTATGAACTGTAGGAGTTAATCGGTTAATTAATACACTCGAAAACCCCGTGTCGCATTTGGCGGATCTGATGTCCACTTTGCAAGCCCACGAATTTTGGATCACGACACCGACTATTTTGTCTCAGATTTCCCGTATCTTTTCCTCGTGAAAATCGGGCTGGCACCTTCCGCCTCTTTCGACGCACTTAACGCACTCCCCTTAAATAATCTGTGACAATCATAACAACAAATACAGTCTCTGAGTAAGCGACAAATGAAACTCTACGCTCCGAAGACGTATTTCTTCTTATAGAGCCAATTTCATTGGCACGGTGAATAATGCACTTAGAAGAAACACAGCGGTCATAATGCTACGTCTTTCATATTTGTTGTCTTGATTAGTCGACACGCGGAACAACATTTGTGAATATTTGACGTGATATATTCGCTCTGCTTCTCTAGCATTCAGAATAAACACAACGTCGGCAAACGAAATAAAATTACTTAGAGCGACTCACATTCGAAACTCCGAAAACCTGACGTATAGACAAGAACATTCTCAGACCCCCGAATTTCCTATAATGGCGTCTAATTCAATGGCATTAGAAACCGCTAACTGTGCAAACAAGCAAAGAATAATAATTCCGACGAGGCAAATGATCCCAAGGAGAGTCAAGCACCGATTTCAAGTAACTTTAAAATTATTAAATCTGTAATTCGGTTGTCTGCAACTGAATTTGTTTCATTAGCATTACAAAACATAATTAAAAACTCTTACACTGTCCAAACGAACACGCATCACCATGGCAACGGTACTTGGAGTGTTCACTGAGTCACTGGCATTGTGGTCGCGACGCAACGCTGACGGTGGACGAGCACATGTGCACTTGTTCCCACGTGCAGACGAGACTGGAGCCTCGGAGGAGGCTGTGTTCAGGTTGCCGCTCGGTGATTAGCCACTTCCCCACCGCGCACACCTCCAGCCAAATAAAACCTCTCTCTTCTTGCCACCGAGATTGGGGGGAGGGGGGCAGAGCACTGAAAGAAATGAACAACAGTTTCGAGTTCCCTTAAACTATCTGTTTCTTATTCGCATTTGTTTCAAAGACCTCGTGGTTGATTCCCTGACGTTACGTGGTTTAAATCCCGACTGCGCCTGTTCTAAGACTTCATTCTGCTTCGACAGATTTCTCGTCCTTTCGCATCCCATGTGACAAACTATTCTTTGCAGTCAATACGCCGTCGTTAAATTGACAGAAATGAAATGTTAATTTGAATTATTCTAGTGTCCGACTTCGCTCGATTCATAATTGTATGGGCCTGTTTCTGAACTTGATACAGCGTCGTTAAATAACAGAACAGCCCGCCACCGATCCCTGTCCTGAGTCAGTTCAGTGCGTTCCAAACTCTCCCAAAACCCAAGGAGTCCTTCAACTTCCTGAGTCAGTTACGTGCGGTCCCAATTCTCCCAAAACCCAAGGAGTCCTTCAACGTTTACGTAAGATTTCGTATCACGGCGTTATCCTTAAACGGTGAGAGGTTCTTAGTCCCGTGACCAACCCTCAAGCTGGAGGCCCACCCCTTGTCGGCTATCCGCGAGTGCTTGTTCACGTCTGGGGGACCGGTTACTCCATACTCGACACGAGGACGCGCCGTATTGTGGTTTCGATCGCCACGGGTTCTCATTCAAGGAGAAAGTACTGTACGATTCTGACATTAAACAGCACTGCATTTTGTAACAAAAGGACTGATTCCCTGGACAAGGCTTCAGGTACAAAGAATGCCTTGTTGACAGCCAGAAAACCTACGTAATTGTAAGTTTCACATTTTAACTTAGCCTAGTATCTTCTAATTTAAATTATTAAACACATTACTTACATCTTACGTTTATTCAGTCCTTCGAATGACAATCGCCTAATTAACCCTTTGAAGCCGAAGATCGTCTGAATATTATTCATGAATTCAGTCCGTACCGCGAAGAAAACACTACACCTCACCATTACGAAAATCAGCTGGTTAACCCTTTGAAGCCGAAGCTCGTCTTTGTTTAGACTACTTGCATTGCAGACGTGCTGGAGAAGTTGCCGCCCCTCCAAGGGGTTAATACGTGCGTCTGAACCGAAAAACACAGAGAAGAGGAAAGGAAGAGAGAAGGATTGGGTGGATGTTTGTGGGCAATAAGACAGAAAAGGCAACATTTCGATGTATTTTTATCGCCAGTTATAAAGCAACGCCACATTTTTACGTGGTAGAACAAGTTCTATTGTCGCCCGCCAGTCAACTAGAAACAATGGTCTTTCGCTTTAAATATATCGTCTTATCGCCTCTGCTATTATCGACAAAAAAAATATTTTAAAGCTGAAATCCGGGATCGTCTGATCAGTGCTCTGGACCATCTTTCCGAATTTCCTTCTGGTTCTTCGAATTGTCGGTGGGTCTTAAGGGACAGAGCCCGAACAGGCAAGCAACGGACAATCTATCACCGCTGCACAGCTCGTCAAGCGCCCTCGCTCCCTTGTTAGTGAACACAAATTGCGTGCTACCTTAAGCTGTTCTGTAGATGAATGCAAATATCTTCACTCTTCTGTCACACTGACCGCCGGAAAGACGTACATTATGGTACCTTTCGTCAGTAAGACTCGCCCTAGTTGCAGCCGTAGGTACCTGTTGGCAGGCATTGATACCGTTTGTGGTATCAGGCAGACATTTTTCATCATACAAGGTCAGACGGTGTACACAGATGTCTGTGGGCCTCGGGTTGGTAACTCCTTATTTAAATGATGATTTTTTTGGGGGGGGGTTTTGTTTTGTTCCCTGTGCCGATGGTCTCCACCCCCCTCCAGGGCAGGGCCACGTGAGAAACTCTCCCATTGGTCAACAGTGATAACTCTACACGCGACGCCTATTGGCTAGCACACAATTACAATTACAATTACGAGTTTTATTACCGTCTTCTAGACTTGTCTGTCGTTCCTCGCATCTGCTAATTGAATGAGCAAACTCGCTGCCTCCCCAAGTCGTCACTATCGATTACCGTAATTATACTGTACTCTCACAGGCAGTGATTGTTTTCCTTGAGGGTCTTTGCCTTCTGCTGGGACAGAGACTTCCTGAGCAATCACAAAATATCCATCTTATTTCGAAATCCGACATTAAAACTCCCACCTGAGATGTAAATCATTGGCTGTGCTGTATAAAGCTCCTTGTGCGTCAGTGTTAACCTTAACGAGAAATGGCGGCGTGTGTATTGTCACGTCTGTTATGTTATGTGGTCTACGCGGAAAGAACGCTTCTGCGAAATTTAATAAAAATGCGACTGGTCGAATGATGGAATTGAGATGGCACGTGGGAAACGAGACCGGACGATACGCGCCTCTCCTACCTCACTGCCCGCGTGCATGGGGTTACGTTGCCGGAAGATTTATGACGACAGAACACTTGCGGGCGTCCTGTGCTCCTTTTCCTTGCTTTCCAAGGCCGTAAAATGCGTTCCTAAACGTCCGTTTTTGTTCCGTTGTGTTGTCAAATCAAACGGCGGACGCTGATACAGGCATTTTAATTGTGAATTGTGTCCCTCTGCAAACGTGAGGGATGTTTGTTGCAAGAATACGAGGTAGGCTCAGCCAGGGATTTCAGCATTTTAAATTTTAACTCAGGGGTGAACAAAATCACGTATATAATACGTACGTGAATGAGGGCTATAACAGTCTTTGCGTCGGCGTACGGAGAGAATGCTTTAAAACAATGGAACGAAAACAGAGACTAATTAATGAAAGTGTGGAGTGTTGTCCTCTGTGCTGTGGAGCCGCGTAGTGTTGCAAGTGGTTATCAACGTTTCGGAGGAACAGAAAGCCTCTGTCTTCAGGATATAATTTTCCTTGTGCACAGAGAATCTGAATCCAGTTTATTTCAACTAAAATAAAACTTTTCTAGGGCACGACGCAGAAATTCCACGTTCACATTCATCAGATGTGTACTCCCGTAGAGTTGATGTTTGTTGATGTAATATTTAAAATAGTACGTAAATTTATGCGTCTCTTCATTGTGTGAGATGGAGGCAGAAGTTCCTCAGAAACATTGCTATCTAGCTATAATAATGTACCGCGTCGTAACTCAGAACACACAATTTTTGCCTTCCCGATTTTGGGAATCTTAAAAGTAAATAAGAATTTTCAGTATTTTCTGCAGATAAGATTTCGCATTTCCCTTACTACATTAAGGGATTAATGTAAAAGTGTGTTTTTAAACTTAGCGTTAGAAGTGATTTTAGCTTTATTAAATGATGACGTATGTTACCTCTGTCGTGGGGGGAAACTTCAGGGAATCAAAATTAGGAGTCGAGAAGTAATACGGAAGCAGAAATCGTTTCTAACTATCAGACATGAGGGCAATGGTACACTTCTGATTGAGTTCGAGAGAGGCCGGGTGATGCTGTTAGAACTGGATCCACCGATTATGGCCGCTGAACTTGTAGGGAGTGCCCAGTATGCAGACTTCTGGTAACTGACTCGTTCAAAGGTTTCAATCAACAGAAGTTCAACTGCCAAAAACGCTGGAACGCAACGCTTCGTAAATTTTGGCACAATTGCAATAAGTTAGATGATGTTACGAAAGGTTAGGTTAGGTTAGGTTGAGATAGTTTGTTAGGTTAGATAACGTGTTAAAAATATTTGTCACGTTTCGACACTTATGGCCACACCTCGTCACGCCGTTACTGTACCTCACGCCTAGTCACGCTTTGTCACGCTTGGTCACGTGGTCACGCTTTGTAAATATTCGTCTCGTTTCTTGACATATTTGGTGATCCTTTGACACGAGGTCAAAGCAAGTCACGTTTCGGCACGCATACGTTATGTAACTTACGGCTAGGTCACTTTTTGTTGGTTAGGTTGGGTTAGGTTAGGTTACCCTACATGTTTAGTGGATTTTGTTAGGTTAAGTAACATTTTGAAAATGTTTATGATGTTTTGAAACTTATTGCCACAATTCGTCACTCCGTTACTGTACGTCACTCCTAGTCACGCTTTTTCACGCTCTAATATCTTGGTGATTTTTTTACATTTAACGGGTCTTCTCGTCAGGTTTTCAAAGGACGCCACGCCTAGTCACGCTTTGTCACTAATATATGACATAATTCAAGATAATGGAGCGAACAGCAGCAGCGGTGGTGATGAATCGAGTGATATTTCAGAAAGCGAATGTCTGTGAGGAGTGGAAGAATTAACTGTACGCGGCCTGATGCATCCCTTCCAGCAAACTTCTGGTAAGTGACTCGCTCCGAGGTTCCAATTCACAAAGTTCAGCGGCCAAAAACGCTGGAACGCAGTATACCAGCTTTCCGTTTTGTTAATTCCCTTTGCTGGAAAGCAAGTCGCCGTGGTTCTCTGAGAAATGGGCTTAACTGTTTACAATCAATGCAAACGTTTTATAATACGTGGTCTGCATGAGGAATATGAGGTGAGGGGGCTCACATACCTTAAGAGATTCAGAAGTAGAGTTGTACTATGATGCATGTCTCATGTATGCGCCTAAATCTGCACTCATTTTTAAATGTTAATTTTCATGGGGCCTGCCTCGCAATGTCATTGTGTGTTTAAGAAAACTTCCAAACACAGAGTGGATTTGTATTTGCAGTTTTGATTGATTTTATTTTTGGTTCGGTTGGCAGCGGATCCAAAAGATCGCTTGGATTTTAGAAAATCGAAATTTGTATTGTACTACTTTCACGCGTTGCCGGTAAGATGGCAGCACATCACACTCTTTACAGTGACATCTTGAGGACTTTAATTACACTATTTTAAAGCACCAGCACCGCTAGTTATGTTGGCAGCATGTAAACGGATAGATGAGAGCGACATCTTTTTTATACATTCAATGCCACAAATTTTCGAAAATTGAATTTGTATGAACTCAGGTTAGTAGTTTTCGAATGAATAAGGAATTGAGTATATTCATATATTTTTATGAATGTTATATATAAATCTAATAAAGATAATGTCTAACATATAATCCTTTTTTCGTGCGAACGTTTTGTGTTTCGTGATTGGTAAGCTTGTAATTTCATCGTAACCCGGTTTATTGTATGGTTGTTTTACTGTCATGTGACGAAGAAGAGAGTTTTCACGTTTAGGCATCTTCGAATGTAATTTGCTTGAGAACAGATAACGTAGATTTGATTGTCTATTGATAGCTACATTTTCGTAATTGTATACGTGTACGTATAGAAATATGATTGGGTTGGGAGTGCTAACAATTCTATTGTATGCGGGCATGTGTTTTTTATGTACAGTTTCTCATATTTTCTTACGCTAAATGAAATAGCTCTTTAAAATATTGAGGCATGAGTTTGACATTAGTATTCATAGAGATGTTTTTATTCTGTTTTAGTTTTTGTTTCTGAACTGAAGAAGGAAAGATGCTGAACTTGGAACGAATTCCAGACCAAGTGGGATACCTTCTTTTGACAGAAGATGGCGCTGTTATTTCGGTCAGTATTGTGATCTTGATGTACAAGTGTTGCTGGAACTTTTTAAATTTAATAGATATTTTTGGCTGCTGAAACTCAAGGTTTTGATTGTGTCTATATAGAGGAGGTATTGTGTGGCTTGGTTGACACCCTGAATTTGGTTATGAAGATCACTGCATTAAACATAAGATTGTATGTATGGGATTGTTCTCTGGAATACTGGCATTGTACATATTTTTCTACTTGACTTGTACATGTTTGTGTTTTAACAAGATCAATCTGCTCCATCTTCTGTATCAGGGACATTTTATTAATGATGCAAGTAGAACATCATAAACATGCCGTGTCTCTGGCACTAGATTTAAACTCAGGGACTCCCTAATGTGAAGGAAGAGTCAGTATAACTTGTATTTACTACCTTATCACGTATGCAATTTTCTATCCTCCTTTGAGCATTAGTTTTTCTAAATCATGTTCATTGAAGTCATGTGCATGAGAAAACAGCATACAAGATTACAGAACTAAACCTTTTATATTAGTCGCTTATGGTGTCACGCTGAACTAGATTATTTGATTAGTGTGATGGTACATACCAAACTTTACCAAAGATGGCTCTCTTCTGAGTTATAGCACCATGTAGTCTGGTATAAGTTTAACACTGTTTCAGAGGTCCTTGCTGCTTCCATCATCAGGGTGATGGGTTGTTATCACCTTGATGATAGTAAACTTCTACCAGACTACATGTCACTACAACATACAAGACAGTCATCTTCATACTTGCTACTGAGAGAATCTCAAATCCTACTCTAATGCATTCCCATGCTTTGAGCAGGATAATGAGAATTTTCCCCGTGTTAGAATTGTTCCATTAATGATTTGTCTTCTGTGTTTCAGTCTGGTGGGGAGATGGAAAACGATGAGCGAATTGCAAATGTTATTTATGGTCTGATCAGCTTGGCTGACAAAGTTGATTCAACTATACAAGAGGAGGGTTACAAGAGAATTTCAGGTACATTTCAAGCTGTGATTTTTTTACAGGAGCCTCACCCTTCTAGTTGTAGTACTGAGGAAGTTTTCTTCTTCTTCTTCTCCCCTGTGTTCTGTCACTGTTATTGGGAACACACGTGTAATTCTACTGTTTTATATATCCCGTAGAGAGAAACATTGTGATAGTGGAATAAGTCTCACATTTTTAAGTAAGCAGAACATGGTTTTGGTGCCCCTTAGATACAAAACTAGTGTAAGGTAGGTGGTAAGTGGAGTAGGTAAACAAGAAATGCATACAAAGTTGTGGTTTAGATTTTGGTTTGATGGTGATTTGTAGTTTACCATTTCATCTAGTAAAATGCCTGTGGTTGGTGTACGTGATGTCTCTAGGCTAGCAGTTAGAAATACAGCAGTGATGCAAACCTTTGAGGTTGCGTCTATACTAGCTGAACTTGCGTTTAGAGATGGATTACTGAGGTTTTCACAGCAGTGAGTCTGAAGATTGCTAAATAGTTTAATTACGAATTTATTTTTCCTGCCGGCTTTTCCGTACAGGTGGAAGCTTGTTTGGTTCTTCACATTTATTTACATGTGAGTGGAAATTAAAAGATTAAGGGCAGTGTTATCATTGTGTGAATGGCAACACTGCTGATGCATGGTCATCCTCAGTTATTGCCCTTCTTGCATCTCCTTTGTTACACGTCTTGAAGCACGAAGTAATGATTGTTCAAGAAAGTATTGAAACAAGTTTTTTTTTCATAGTCTTTGCATCACAGTGTTCCGCCAACAAAAGTTACTTTTCTTAGACTGATATCAGCGTATTCTCTGCTGTGATATACACGTAAGCACGCACGAGAGTAAATCTTTTATCAAAAGTACATGCCACTTGCATCCCTTCTTACGTCTTTTCTGACGGCAGTCCATTTGGTAGTGTTTTAAAGAAGTTCCATTTTATTTCTCGAGTGGTAATAAATGATCCTACGTTGAAGGTAGAATAATGCTGTTATTAAGGTTTATTAGAAATATTTCTTTGAAATTAGCACACGCATTTCATTCTCAGCCATCATGTTTCCGTTGTTCCATGTTACTGTTTACGGTGGAGGCTGAGGATAAAGTCTGTTATTGTTTCTTTTGTGTTTGTCACATGAAGACATAAACAGATCAAGTTTCCAGCAAGTTCTGTTCAGAGTCGTAGTCAATAAGCAGGTCTAGACACGCAGTATCACTGATTACAATGTACCTGCTTGGAATCATTGTGTACAGAGTACGTCTGTACGTCTTGCTGCCGTCTTTCGTTGTAGGTTCTCCAAATTCTGTCATTCATTTTAATTGGGTGATTGACAAATTGTGCATTAACCAATTCCGTCTCCAGAATGTGTTCAGGTTTTGTGAGTGATTATTTGGTATTCGTTATGGCTTGTTGCAGTTGTGTACGATGACCACTGCTACGTTATCTGTCTCTCCAACAAGAAGATTCACGTAGTGAAGAGGAAGTTCTTGCAGAACCATACCGAACCTGCCGTTGCCTAGCCATGCGTTTTATTGTACAAAGATAAATTAATTTGACACTGAAGGTGAGCCTGGTAGAATAAGTGATTCTACAACAGCTTACTCTGACTAATTTACTGTTAGACTGCGGTAGATGTTACTGGCCATTCTATCTTCCTCACCTCATGTCAAGTTGGCAGTAATTCAAAGGAACTCTTCTGGTGTGATGTACTTGTTACTCGAAGTCATGTCGTTAGTTGATGTCCTCCGGTTGGTGGTGTTAAGTTCATGAATTTTGAAATGTGAATGAGTGAAAATTAATATTACTATGAGATTTTTCCCTTACTCATAATAATGATGCAGGATTATTTACGTATAATACAGGGTTAAGTTACTCCGTCGTTTTCTTCATTTTATATTCTCTGCAACGTCTTTATCTCTGCTGTGTGAAAATACGTAAATGTTAGAATTTGATTATCAGAGTTGTGAAACCTTCCTGTCCTCTATTTAAAAAAATATTAAAACATGCAGAACCTTTTTTTTTTTGCATGTGAAATTTGAACTCTAAATCTAGGGATAGGGGGCTGAGGGGAATATTTGGGGTGAAAGTGACCAGCGTGGAATATTTACATAATTTTTTCTCCTCACCAAATATTTTTAGAGTTAAATCATGTGACTACCTTGCATGGGGAGATGAGAAATGCATATAAAATTGTCCTGGAGATACCTGAGTGGAAGACGGACGGTGTAGACATGATTGTGGTATTGGTGCTCTATTCAGGAAGGAGAGGTTGCTATATATGTCCATCTCTGGTGAACTGGCTGTTAGTGGAAGTAGTTGCTCGGTTTTTCCGGTCTGAGGGGCCAGGTCATGAAGGTGTCGTTCTCATGTTGGACGCAGCAGCAGAGATTTGCAGGTTGCCATGTTGAGTGTATCTACTTCAGAGTCCTCTATGAGGGTCATTTTTCTGTTCTCTGTCCTGACCCACCTTTCCTGTTTGGTCTCGACCACCTTCATCTCCCTCGACTCATGAGCTGTTTCCCTCGGTTTAGTCCTTCTCATAACCCTGTATAAAGCATCCTCTTTCTTGTACTTCTTACATCAGCCCTGACGATGAAGTCAGCGTGTTTCTCAGACGTGCTGGTACCCACTGGTAAGTCAACCGTGCAGAAGGCCAACCTTTCTTGTTGGCTATTCAATCACAGTCTGAATAAAAGCCTACTCGATGAGTTATTAAAAAAGCGGTAGTGTCGTATCAGCTGCAGAGATATGTCACCTTCTGCCGGTAAGGAGCGGAGTGGCTCTTTTGGTTGAAGATGCGTAAGTACTGTGCCAACGCAGTCGACCCTCATACTGTACTTTAATTTGTCGGTATGAATGATGTGTTGAAGTTGTTACCATTGCTGCTTCATATTCAGTAGGTTATAGCACGAAAATAAAGTATCCTGATGGGTGTTCTGTGGTTTTCTTCAGTCCTTCCACTCAAATGCGGGCTACAGTTGTTTCCTTCCACGTCCTTTCCCATTTGTTGTTCATTAAGAATTTTATCATTCAGTGCTGCTGACAGTGTCATACATGGATACAATAAAAATGTTGCAAGTCAGTGTCGGTGCGTCCTCATTTGTCATGTGCCATCTTTCTTCAGCTTTTTTGTTTCTCGGAAGTGTTTAAGAACGACTTGCGGGCTTTGTGTCGAGGTTCATAAGAATCGTGTAATGGTTATCCTGAAGTAGTGATTTTTCTTACACTTTGGTAATATAGACTAATGTGAAATATTCTGAGGTGCAATGGAAGATTTTTGAATTACTAAGTAATTTTTTTTGAAGGCACTTTCTTTGTCATTATTTTTAAAATTCGATGTATAAGCAAAGTATTGCATGTAGTTGATGGAACAGACATTAAGGCAGTTCAAGAGCGAAGAAGTGGGTGTATTAAGATTAATGCGAGGGTGTACTGGGGAAATTAAAATTAAAAATTTGTGATTTTACCTGCATTTTGTAGAATGATCAGGTTGGAGAGTCATGTAGCATATGTGGAGGAAATAAGAAATCCTTACTAAAATTTTGTTGGAAGCGACTACTTACGAGCTTAAGAATTTTGGAAGGTAATATTAAAGTCAGTTACAGGGAGGAACAGGAAAGGGTCAAGTGGCAGGCTTTAGAGTAGGAGTCTTGGAGTATGATCTCGATCTTTGTCTAGTTTGTGTTAATCGCAACACCAGCCAACTTGACATGAAGGATCGAAGGGGTCATTAGTTTTGTCGGGTTACACGAGGTTTACGGGAGTAAAGTCTCCGTTCGTGCTAATAATGGAATTTTCAGCTGGAATGTGCTGTTAACTGATCGCAACATGGATGCTGCATACTTTTAATCTGTAATACGTAAGAGCCAGTTTGACGTTTGTGGGTGGGTGAGTTTGCTCACAGTTTGAGGCGAGATTTAAACGGATGCAGACCTGGGGGGGGGGGGGGGGGGGGGGAGATGTTGAAAGTTGAAATTACGAAAGACATAGTTATGCCTGATATTTTTCATTGCCATTCTATAGCAGCATATTTTTTTAGTGATTCTTTGTTTTATGCAACAGTGCACTTTGTTAATTTGTCATTGTGTGTAATTTATGTCATAACCTCAAATATTTACTGAGATGCGAAAAGACTCGCGTAAAAAGGGATTACGATACAGAGAAATCATTCCCGTTGAATAGGATTTGAGGTTTTGTGTGGTCTGCTGTAAGTTTACCAGTGTTTCGGAGGTCCCTGCTGCCTCTATCATCATGGTGATGAATCATCACTTTGATGATGGATCTGCCAGAAGATGGCCATCTTCATTACTCGTTTGATTTCATAACACTTTTCATTCTGGTGTTCGAGTAATGTGATTGAGACTTAACGTTGTTTTTCTCAGAATTTTGTTTCTCTTTTTATAATAACAGTGCTGAGTATATAAAACAAAGGTTAACGGAGGTAAGGGTACTTTATAAAATGTTTATTTTAAGATGTGCCCAGCTTATAACGCTAAGAAGCTGGGCAGAGATGCAGAGCTGCTCTGTAGCAGGCGGCTTGACATTATTCTTGAAAGATGTGGTAATGATGATGTTACTTCATAAAAACTGGCAGGAGACCTGCGTAAAAGTGATGGGAGTCGATACACAAACTAAGGTTTGTTAGTGTATCGATGTTTATTTGAAGGAAAGTGACTGACAGAATGAATTAGCTTATTTTACAGATTTCTATTCTTGAAACCTATCACACGTTGGTATGTCGTGTATACTTTTGGCTGGCCCGAGGCCAGCGCGGAATGAGTCGATGCAGATGATCTGTATTTATTGACTGATACAGTTCCTCGCACGTGTGTGCATTGGAATCTTTTGCTGTGGAATTCACCTGAAGTGACTGAGGAAAACGTAGTCAATATAACCTCCCTCCGAAATTAGATTTGAATCCTGCCAGCTTATCGATAACGACATTTGGCTGGAAAATTTATATCAGAATGAGAAATAGATATATAATTTGTGGACTCGCTGTGATTTGAGGTTCTCAAGGCGGCTAGTACGAAGATGATGTCTTCTGGTAGAAGTTTAGCTGCGTTTCAGAGGTGTTTGCAGCCTCCATGATTATCGTCCTGACGATGGTGGCAGCAGGCATCTCCGAAACATCGGGAAACTAGCATACTACACGGCGAAAGTTAGGATCGTTCCATATCGCCAGTGTTGAACCTTTGGGTTCTGTGAGCAGATAATTTTTAGATAGTTCATATTATTCACTTTGTTAAATGAAGTTCCGAACAAAACAGAAGCCTTACTTTTTTTTTAATTACTGGCTGTGCAGTCTACGGTGTCACCATCACCATGTTCCATCATTAAGGGCGTCGTGTTTCACTGCCGTCTTCCACATAATCTAATGCTCTTAAGGGAGTAAAATTTAGACATCCAAGTTTTTTTCATCTCTTGGTAGAGGGCGGAATTTCAGGATTTGTCAGGAAAATGCAGTCTTTGACATCTGAAGCCAATTGGTTCTGTATGAATGGAATTTCTCTTCCGAAAATTAAGTTTCGGTGCCAACTCTATCGAAAGGAAAAATAGGTATATTTTAATTTCGAGGTTCGTGTGCAAGAGTTTTATTTCTGTTTTACACGATTTTAGTTCGTTTTATCACATGAAACATTTTGTGAACAAAACGCATTGTTTTTTTTTTTCCTCTCTTTCTGCAGACATGTTGTCGCGGTGGTCTGTTGTGGCCTCGTACGTCTGTCGTCGCACCGTGAACGAGGAAGTCGAGACGGTGAGTAGAACCGCTTGCCTCTTGTCTTTTGTTTAGTCCTGTTGTTCGTGAAATATCTAATATTGATTTCCTTCCTGTTAATTAAATTTCCTCATTTTCGTAGGCTCAGACCGGAAGGCGCTGTTAGCTCCTCCGTGTGTCTGGCCGCCCTCTTACTCTGATTGTCCTCTTCGTCACTGGCTAACTTTGTAACTGGGAAGGACACGAAATTAAGCAGTTGATAAATATAAAGAAAATATTATATTGTGGGGGCTGACGGGAACCACAGAACATTTCACTCCGAGCTAAGATTTGAACCCGGGACTTCCGGAACACGAAGCAGGAGTGCCGATCTGTCCCGAGTCGTTCCGTGATTTTATTTGACTGGAAATATAAGATGCTTGTTTAACTCTCTTTAAAAAATATCTAAATATGCATGTATATGAAGGGGCTTTAGGTTATGACGTCACGCTGTCATTCTGATCAATAACCGTGGCGAATTCGCAGCGAAGATCCTATGAAGTTTTTCAAGCTTCGGTGTCGGGGACTAAGCCGCTCGCCGAGAGGTGTCAGAGGGAGTTGTCGTCGCATCACCAGTTCTGTTCAGTGTAGTTGCCTGTGTGATGAGGGGAACGGGGCTAAAGGTGCCGGAACGTGAAGCTCGCAATTCCTGCCAAGGCGCGGAAGACGTGGGCGTTTGCCATCGGGCTGTCACGTGATTTAGAAGCGTCTATCATAACGTCGTGGTCGAGTGGTTGGTACTCCTGCTTGGAAGATGATAGTTTCTCGGCTTGTCGGGAGATTTGTTAGTCACTGTGATGACGACATCCAACATTTGGACCCTGTTCTGAGGCAGCTGGGTTCTGCCTGCCCCTTCACACCCTCACTTCCTGTTATTCATCGTAACTTCCGCCATCTACGTCTAGGTCTGCCAAGTGAAGGTTTTCTGAAAACGAGTGTCATGCATTTATCTCCTCGTGCGTGTTATATGTCCACCCTATCTCATAATTTATGACACATTTCTCGCTCATTAGCTTGAATTTCCAGTTTACTTTCTGTAATGCCGTGAGGCCAGAGAATTTGCGGGTTAGGTTAGGTTAGTCGCGTTTACATGAAATGTTTCACACATTTTTTGAGCATGTACGCAAAGTCTGCTGTTGCCAAAGTTGGTCAGTCCAGAGTTACAAGTGTCTGAGCAAGTTTGTTTGTCTTTCGCCTTAATTTGCCAGGTTCAACTGCCTTAAAGTAGAATATACTCGCTGCCACTTTAATCCTTGCGTCTGTTATTGAACTTTTCATTTAAGAAGTTTTCCTGCTCACGTATCTACGAGAAAAAATGTTCATGATGTTTAACGCATGTTAGAATCGGCGTATGATGACGTAAACCGGGGAATGTAAGTGAATGCAGCGAGAAACTACAAGTCACTTTCTCGTTTGTGACGTCACGAAGAAATACTTACAGACGTTTGGTGGGGAAACCTTGTAGAGATGTTTAAAACGGATCTTATAGACACAAGCTGTGGGAAATTGACTCTGTATTTCGTTCAGCAGTCGGTCGTGTTGAACATGAACTGTTCTGATCACTTGATTTGAAAGCCAATTAATTATACAGGGTATTCACAAAAGAATGGCGCGGTTTCAAAAGTTAATAAAAAAATCATTTCTCACCTTACACCGTCAGGTGAGAAATAATTTTTTTATTAACTTTTGAAACCGCGCCATTCTTTTGTGTATACCCTGTATTATAAAACATGTTTGCAGGCGACATGTGGACAGTGGCTAGTGAATCATTGTTCAGAGACATTCACAGCCAGAAAAGAAAACTGTTTTGTAATATTCATTCATAAGCTAAGCATTAAAAATTCCCTGTACTTGTGTGTAGTCTATTATAATTTTCATTTAAATTCGTGAAAGAAACAAATTAATCAAAGCAGAGAAAACAATGAGAGTAGCAGAAATTCTGCAGATTTGAAAACTCGCTGTGTTAATGTATCTCAAAAAGTTATTTCCAAAATAAAATTCGATCGAGCGTGTTGACTGGTGCCCCTTATACTTCGTGAATAGGATACACGCAGTGCAGTAGTGTCAGAGAAGTTGCCGCCTCTTCACGGCGCTGTACGATTACCACTCCGGATTCGTTTACGGCATAGACAAGAGCACGTTCTCGCTTTACTTGCAAATCCCGTTTTAAACATTC